CCAAATCATTAGCGGTCAGATGAGTTTGGCCACAATTGATATTTCACAAAACGAAAAGGAATCGTGGTACTTCATTAGGTCACGAAGCTTAATGCGTAACGGTCCTAGTTTAATGGCAAGAAATGACTTACTATTACTGCATTTACCCGTCTTTTTGAATGAAACATTTCATAGATTCAGTGTTTGATCATGTATACCCTTTTGCTCTCTAAAGCCCTTTATTAGTTCTTATCAGTTGTTATCAGTTGCTGTCATAGAGTACCTACGACCACATCACATCCTACATTGCCATCATTGAGAAGGTTCCACTGTTGACACGAAGGGGATTGCAACGCTTGCTCGCTTGTTATTATCTGTCCTTATCACTAATGAACTTCGGTCCCTTCACATCCTGCACTATCTAGTGGAATGCTCAGCTGTTAGTACGAAAGACGTTGTAGAGTTATTGGCTCTCGCATCCTATCAGTTTCTATCAGTCTCTAGCAGTTTTATTAGTCTCTATCAATAAACATTCACGGTCTCTCTTTAATCACATCCCTTACCGAAGTGCCGAAGCTCTGCCGTTAACACGAAGAAAGTAACGGTTTCTGTGGCTCTCGCCTTTCAATGCTCTTGATCAACCCTTTCTAACTGGTATCACCACTTATCAACTACCATCAGTGTTCCTATCCTGCATCCTGTACTCCTAGTAAAGGTGTAGCATGTTGAATAGAAAATCTGAGAAATCATGTTTTACGGAAATTTTGTAGATTGAAAGAACGTTCAGAAGGGCTCGCCTCAGAGGTACCGGTACCGTTAATTTCAAGTTCTTCTATTGGTTTATCGGGTGCAAGTACAAAGGGATTCACCTTTTCTCTGATTACTTATGTCGTTTCTCTTACAAGAAAAAAAGACAGACTGCCGGATGAGCGGGTACCATTATTCACTTTGTTCTTTATCTATTCATTGTGTACAAAGGTGCGCCACCAAAAAAGCCTACCAGAGGAAGAATACACAGAAACACAAAAAGCCATCAAAACTGAAACCGTGCAATAAAAGTGCTTCACACACTAGATGTCATAGACGCATGTCAATAACATTGGAGTGAAATGAAATAAAGGATAATATGCTTTCATTGATCCCTTCTATCTGGAAAAGCGTTCGATGCGGCTGTGCATACGCTGAGTAGAAATTGTTCGCAACACGGTCTGCTTTATGTGAATAATCTTGACAAACCAGCTCGAGCTGGCGCTGTTGGATGACGTCGATCTGCTGTCTGTGGCGAGGCATCCAGTCCTGAGACCTTCTGAGATCTTATACATGCCTTCTCCCGAGCTCGAAATCCAATAATACGAATATTTCTGGTCAAGCAGAATAATTTTATGGCTGATAATGACTAAAATCTCCTTTCATTGGTTTTATTGGTCACGCGATTTCAACGGTCAACGAGCTCATGATCGAGATTGCCTATTACAATCTCAAGACAGCCCCGATCTCCCTCCCCCTAATTGGAGGCTTGGCACTCAGATCAGCTCCGTAGAGATAAAGAAAGAGGCGAAATGGGAAGACTCCATTTGAACTTTGACCTTCGTACTAAGAATTTTTCTCAAAGCAAGTTTTCAAGGAAACTCATACTAAACTAAACATATAATTGATTTATTACTGTATGGACATGTGGACAAAACGGAAGATTACAGTGGTAGAAGCAAATTGCTGTATTGAACATTAGAATCGGTTGGCTTTGCCCATTGGGACCACCTTCGTTGACGTAGATCTGTTGAAAGAGCTCTGAAAAAGGTACAATAACGGCATCTGTACACGTCTGGAAATTAAGACAAAGACAGATGTGACCGCATCTGGAAGTTCCGAGCCTGGCTGGCCTTCGGACTAAGAAAACCCCACACTATCAAATGCTTCCGCATATTTGTTGGTAAATGTGAGTTTTCGAAAACTGCTGCTAAAAAAGTATCGGTGGACCTCCTTCAGTTTCAGTGGAATCGAGAAGCCATGGACATCTATCACATCAGCAAGTGATACTGCTTACCTGAACACTCTCATCTCGGACACCCAACAGAGCCAGAATTTTTCGTCTCATATCGTCGTTCAAAATCAGCATCATCCATACATTAATGTACGAAAAGAAGCAGCTGATTACAGGGAAAACCATCCTCATCGTGAATATTGGACCATCCTAAAAATATTTTTGATCCTTCTCTTTTCTTTCGTTGTTTCTTTCCTATTCTTGGTTCTGAAGAATTAACTTACATTCGAGTAAAGCGAAAATCTAAACTGCATAATATTGAAGACAAGTAAAAGTATGAAAGCCACAAATAATCCCAACATTTGGACATAAAGACGACGTTCTCGTTTCACAGCCCTGAAAACCATCGAAATAGCATTTTTTGCATGATCACATGGATTCAAAGCAAACTTACACACTACTGCTGTATCGATTGACAATCAAGAATCTCAGTATGGCTCCATAGCATGATGCGCAGAGTATGAACGATATGGAGACGAAAATAGCTGCCATTGAGGTGGCTACCTGGAAGGACCAACTCATCAAATATCGAGAAGAGATTCAGTTTACGTGTTAGTTGATACAGGGATGGGCCTGGGTAGAAAGCGGACCGGGAGCGGCACCGATATTGGCCTAGATCAAAGAAGCCTTTCGTACTGTCGCTTGATTTGTACGGTTTCACCATGGGAGCCCAGAAGTACTGACATTCATCAGATGGCACAGCAATTCATTCATGTTTGGGCCGGATACGCTTTCAATCGCATCGCCACTACAATTTTGAATAGGTGAATGGGAGTCGAAAGCATGGCGTATCCCGCAAACGAATCCGTTCCGTGCCAATAATTCCCGTTTTTCTACCCTTAAATACTCACTGTAATGTCCTGCTTTTCTGCAAGAACTTCGAGATTCTTTTCGTCTTTGAACGTTGCATTACTCAGTATAAGAAGCGGAATCGAATAGGCAAATGGAAGCAGCCAATGCAGAAGTGGCAGAGTCCATCGATGGGAGACGTTCACGATCTAGAAGTGAACTTCCAATTTGGGTATAAGGAAAAATGGTTTTGTGGAGCTCACCTGCTCAATAGGACGACCATTTTTACAAAGAGAAATGTATCGTTGAAATGACATCAGCAGTACACCGAAACATCGTATAAAAGCCAATACGTAGGTTTGATTGAAGCACCACGATGCTACATAGTGATATTGATACGTCCAAAAGATTGAATTGAACAACTCTGATGATCGCAGGACTCCAAATACAAAATAGCTTGCCATTACTGAGATGTCCACTATGCCCTAAAAGAATGTTACCTCAAAAGCGTGTTCTAAGTGTGATTTCATAGAATATTCTTTTACACAATCAATTTTAAAGGAATTTCTCACCATGTCAACTATATCATTTATTTATAAAAATTCGCATTTACCCTTAAAATATGAACGTGATGTTTTCTTTTCTAAAAGTTCAGTTTGTTGACTTCAGGGTCTGCAATTATATGTGCAGACAGAAGCATACATAAACCATTGGAATTTTCCTTCAAATACCTTTGAATACCACTCGGTATTACTCCTAATTTTACTAATTTATCATTCTCTTCTAATTCTTTTAATTACTATATTTTACAAACTTTCATACCTGAGAAATGATGAGAACGTAGAAAGTTCTTTGTAGAGGGGTTTTTTTCCATTCTCTAATACATACTGTAATAATTAGAAGATAAAGTGGTAGTGATACAATATTGACTACGACAAAAATCCATTGCGACCATGACAATGCCATCAGGTGTCCCAAGAAAATCTGAAAATAGGATTTTCATTGAACCTGTGGTGTAAGGCAGTGGGGTGACGATGTTCGAGAGCTTTTGAACACTGCAGGAGGATCTTTCAGACAAAAGAAACATCACCAACAACAACAAAAGGCTCATCGGTGCGTGAAAACCTTTTTCCGAATAGTTTTGTGTTCATTTAGTTTATGGCAAAACAAAAAAAATTAGCAAATGACGTACAGGAAGTTGTCGTCTGAACAACAGACGGTATTTGAATGGGCTTACCCATAATGAACCGGGGAAGTATCAAACTTATCCACAGGATAATTAATTAGAGGATGAATAGTTGAATAAAAAAAACCAAATCGAGTACTTTTCTGAATTTCCTTTGGAGAAAACTTTCCGCAATCCGCCTAGTTTGTTAGGTGATGCTAAGTTTGTTGTTGTTTATTTGTTTACTGCTGTTCATTTCCTACAGACGCATTTCTATACCGTATCTTTTTGTGAACAAATTTGGAACGAACAAAGATAAAAAGGCCTTAAAAGAGGGGAGCTTTAGAAAAGCGTGCAGGATGCGCCACGCCTATGTATCCCTACTTCCGTGTCCAAGGGGGTATTCAAACGTTTTGTCAGATGCATAAATAGTAATTTGTTGCTTTAGCGAACCCTCACTTCGATAATTATATTTCCTCGGCAAAATCAGCATCAATTAACTAAACTGAAAAAGATATGTTGCTTGAAAGCTGGTTCTCTGATATGTGATGTGATACTTCTTCTTGACTAGACCCTAATTAATCGTTATCTACCAATTACGGTAACGAACACGGTAATTGCTCAGCTTATGTGGAGTTTGTGGTTTATACAAAAGTAAAAATGTTGGAATGGATAGGGGCTGATGCTAACAAATGAGTAAATTGTTCGAGTATGGTTCCCAGGGACAATGTTTCCCCTGTAGAACTGATTCTCACTGAGACATCGGTAGTTTCACATACGGTAATTGCATCTGATAGAAATCCACGGGAAACATCGTCGATGTGCGTAATCATTCGAGTTGTTAGAATAAACAAACAAGTAACTTCCGCTTGATGCAACAGCGAGAATAATGTTTTCCGACAAAGTCATTATCCTCTACAAAACCTGGGAATAATCTCTTCATGGGTTGCGAATGATTCATAGGACTGAGAAAAACAAAGAAAGCTGAATGAGCCTGGTTTTTCAAAAGTTTCTAAACACTATGCAATTCGCCTCCTAGGTTTAAACGATTGGCTGGAAGTGCTGCAAATCAAGAGCTCCAAGTGAGTCGCTCCCAGGTCTCGAAGATGGTGTTCGAAAAGTGCATCAAACGGAGTGGTTCTACTTAATAAACATGTGGGCCTTAGCATAAAGTATGATAAAGGATTAAGTCTTTGGCGAGTCCATAAAGTTTTGGGGATGCGCCCAGCATTCGACATCCTTCAGAATCTTTGTGACGTATTGAATGCGTATGTGGCTTATGCAATGACTTGCGGTGGCCTACCTAAAAAAATCTCAGTGATTTTATCCACCCAAACGAGTGTGGTGCAAACTAACCTACCCAGGATGAACGGTAGATTTCATTTTCTTGGGCGAGTATCGATCAGAGGCTCGATTATCGCCAGAAACAGGTATAATAGTGCGCCTCTAGCCTCACCAAGTATAAATTATACTACGCAGTAACTCAAAGCACTTCGAATTGATAGCTTCATTCAAGATGGTTTTTAGGAAAATCATTATCGACCATTTTCGTGATGATAACAGACAGTCAATGTGGTTCGAAGACATTTCTTGCTGCTTATACAGAAAAGGGATATAAGGCACATGAATAAAATAGCATAAAAAACTAAATAACATATTTTAATCATGTATAACTGAGAGAGAAGGAAAACATGGTTGGATGATGGGGAAAGTGGCAACCCAAGGGAGTCAGAGGTAATGTTGTAGAAGCAATCAGAATCGTGTCGGAACGGCGGAAGATATCGCTTTCATGGGAGTAGCCATGATCAGAGAGACCTAAAAGTATAAAAATGATTTGACGATGAACGACACCATGATAGAAAGTACACAGGGATATACCCTTTTATTCTCCTGATTATTTCCTCATCAGTTGATAAGCACGGCTATTGAGCTTGCATGGGATGAGTTCCCTACGGTTTATTGCCTTCAAACAGCTTACCTCACGATCAGCCACCTTTCCTACTTTGGTAAGGACTTTTCTTCGTATGTCATCATTTAGAATCAGCATCATCCATGGATTTATATAGGAGAAAAAGCAGCTTATTAAAGGAAATATAATCCTCATAGTGAATATAGGAGTGTTCTGAAACAACCTTTTGAAATTGTTAATGTAAATCTCCATTGTCAGCTTGATGACTGAAATCTGGGCCCAGTGGAATTACACGGCAATTCCGAAAGAATACGTAAAAAAAACGTTACATACATCAGTTCTGAGTGAAAAACTGAATTGTAGAACATAAAAGACGAACAGAAGTACGAAACCAACGAAGAGTCCCATCATTTGAGCATACAAACGTCGTTCACGTTTCAAAGCTCTGAAAAATTGGGGTTCTGTATTTGATCGGTCATTTTTTTTT